AAAGATGATATCCCAGAGAATACATTTAATCTGAACACATTTCACCTAGATTTTTATGAAAAAATTTTTTTTTCTGTTTTCACTTTTTTTAAATTTATGTTTCTTAACTTAATAACTGGATTTTAAGAGAAATTATATCTATTGTAATATTATGGTTCATGTTTATTGTTTGTTTGCACATAATTGGACCAAATATAAAAAGAAACGAAATTAGTAAATGATTGATTGATTGACTGATTGATGTTCCAGGAGTTGCATCGGCTCCATGATGAATGGTTGCTTGAGTCTAAGTTCAAAGTACCTGCTCCTGTTGTAGTTATCAATGCTAACCAGGTATGATCCAGATTCCCGGGGTGTACACGGTACAATGCATACTTTCTTGAAAAATCAATCACCACTTATTGAAATTAATTTTTCCGTAAGTTAGGTACGTTAAATTTTTTTTATATTTTTGGAGTAAATAATCGAATTTAGTCTAAAATGGATAAATGTTTGGATAAAACTTGCCTATTGTTTTTTTTTCTTCAATTTTTCATCTTTTTTTCTTCCACAGCATCAAAAATCTGGGAAATTATTAAAACTTGATACGTACTAAGCGAGAAATTTGTTTTATTCATTTTGATACTTCATTCCCAAAAATTCGTTGTTATCCCCTCAAATCAATTGTCTAAACCCGAAAAAAAGTATAATAACTTAGGGGGAGTGGGGTATGATTGTCTAAGGAGGGGTGTTAGGTTTTTTGGATAAATATACACACCTCAAATCCCCCCACCCACCCTCTGGAAGATAGGTAATTCTAAAAATAATAAAACCATCTTTGCATATATGGTCCCGTTTATCCAGAGATCAGTATGTTTTTAACTTTATCAATTTATTTATTTATAATTTTTTTACGAAACAAATTAATTGATACATGTATTTAAGTGGAGAGAAGTGACCTTGATATCTAGACTTCTATACAAGTACAACGCACATAGCGCCCTTTCTCTCAACAGGCTTAGAAAGCTCTGCTGACACCCTTCCTCTGCAAGGTTCGGATACACACTGAGAGATCAGTATGTAAAATGCTGATCGTTGGATCGATATCCAATGTGGGCACTTTTTAATAGAGTTATCTTGATCCTAGAGGGAAAAGTTCCGGCTTCTGTTGGTGTAAAAAACTACGACGATAATAAAATTAATTTTAATTCCAGCTGGATTTAAAGAATGGGTTTCAAAAGTGGGAAGAGGGGGGAGAAATTTTTTTTTTTTTCATGAAAATACCCATCCCTTCATTTAGTGATGAATTAATCGTTTTGGATAAGAGTTAGAAAATTTTAATACAGTTTTCAAGACTCCGAAACTGTTTTATGTTAAAGTTTGATTTTATTTAACTTTGTCATATCTTTATCCTAAAAAATAAATAGTGGAAAACGATCCAAAAACGAGCATTTGTTATTGCAAAGATTTTGGATCGTTCTTGATTTTTTTTTTAAATTATCATCTGCGAGGGTCAAAATTTTACATAATTTATTAAAAGCAAATAGATTATCAAGTACAATAGGTGGCAACAGAGAAATGGATTAACTATAAACGACGTCACAAGTGTCAAATGTAACAAAGGAACGAAATTTTCTTACATTATTTTACATGTTTTTCAAGATTAATTAAAAAAGTGTAAAACAGAAAATAAATAAGACATAAAATTGCACCATTTTCACTGTAAGAAGCTCTTTACTCTAAGATTATCACTATTATTAATAATTTTGTCGGACACAAAAACTAAGTTGACACTTGTGATGTAAGAATACAGCTGTACTGAGAGTGTACAAATACTACGTTGCCGTCTATTGTAATTAACAATCTATTTGATTAAAAGCTTTTTAGAATATTATAAACTTTAAAAGAATTAGCTTCTGTTACATTATGCAAATATTGACCCTGAAAAAAAATCTAGTCAAAAAAACGAGCCCAAAAATGTAAGCACATCCCTACCTGCATTTGTAAAGATGGGCGGATTTTTGGTAACTATAATAATTAGGTAACTAACATTTTGGTAACTAGTAATTTGGTAACTAACATTTTTTTAACCTGACAATTTGGTAACTGGCTATTTGGTTACTAACAATTTTTTAACCTGACAATTTGGTAACTGACAATTTGGTAACTGGCAATTTGGTTACTAACAATTTGTATAATTGAAACTTATGTTTCACAATCATTGTTTGTATATTTATTTGTTGAATACATAGAGAGAAAAGAACAATATGTAAAATTTCTTAGAGGTTTATCATGAAAAATCCGCAAAAACTGATTGTAAACTCGGCCCCCTAGCCTGTCCTAACCGCAACACTCGGCCCAGAAATTGTCTTAACCTCACCTAACCGTACTTTTCTGCGAACAATATATTAGTTTGATAAATAAGGCGCTCTGTCCAGACATTGTCTTGTAACCTACCCTTACCCCTTCATATCGGATATCATTGTATTAATTTTGATCCCAGAAATCGTCTTAACCTAACCTTGACGTTACCAAATTGTCAAGTTACCAAATTGTTAGTTACCAAATTGTCAAGTTACCAAATTATTAGTTCCCAATTGTTCAGTTACCAAATTGTCAAGTTACCAAATTGTTAGTTACCAAATTGTCAAGTTACCAAATTGTTAGTTACCAAATTGTCAAGTTACCAAATTGATAGTTCCCAATTGTCCAGTTACCAAATTGTCAAGTTACCAAATCATTAGTTCCCAAATTGTTCAGTTACCAATTTGTCAAATTACTAAATTGTTGGTTACCAAATTGTGAGGGTTACCAAATTATTTGTTACCAAATTGTTAGTAGCCAAAATGTTAGTTACCAAGTTATTAGTTATCAAAAATTCGCAAGTTTTTAGATCATAATTGTTACTGAATTTTTTTTATGGTAATCCCTTTTATTCTTATCACTAATTCTTTTGCATTGTTGAAGGATAAGGAGTTAATGCTGGCAGAGTACAATAAACTGGAATCTATAATATTTAACAAGAGCAGGTAGATTCAAAACTAAGGGTGTTGGGAAAGATAAGTATTTGGCTGAATCGGGAATAAAGAAGGAATAAATCAATATATTATTGGACAAAAAGTATCATCTTGCTCGTTTATATCCATTTTTATATCCATATTTCCAAAAAAAAAAATTCAAGTTTGTACAAAAAACATAGCAAATTCTGTTTTCAGGCGTTCAAATTTTAACCAACATTTATTTACATAAATAACTAATTTGTCAATCCTGTTACAAACAATTTTCACTTTATGTTGAACGATTTCTTAAAAACCCCAATACCTAATTTTATTGATAAAAGTAACCCGCAACGCACATTCCTTTTTTATAGATAGTTTTTGTTTTATTGCATAGGGAATAAAACCTATGTTTTGAAAATATTTTTGTTATATTTGTGATTCGGTGAACTCTTAATGAATTATAATAGTTTAGAGTGCTGGTTCTTTATGTGTGTATTTTAAAATTAATTATTCACATTAAGACTTTTATCTCCAGATAATGAAAATTTTAATTTTGATATATCATGTTCAGTTTTATCAAAATAATGTTAACTAAGAATATGTTCTTTTTCAAAAAAACTTGATGCTTTATATAATCTCTGTGTGGTCTGTTTGTATCTATTTCCGTAATTATATTTTATTCAATTTTGAGGGAATTTATTACACTTCATATTTCCCGCCGTTGTATGGTTAATATTGATAAAGTGAATTTATTGCCCTACAACAGGATGAAAAGTAACTTTATCAACCTGCTATCAAAGTTTCAAATTTCAAACCTAATATTTCCCCTATAGGGGGATAAATTTACTTTTTCATCCTACTACAGGGTGAATAATTTACTTTACTGACCTGCTATTAAATAAGTTGAGTATAATTGAATATCACTATATATGTCAATGTAATGGGTATCATGCGCGCAAAAAAGTTTTTGCTGGAAGTTTAACTTTTTCTAGTATGTTTTCGATCAAAATAAAAGTATTTTTACCCCTCACTACGTATAAACTAGGAAAATAAAAATCCCGGCAAAACTGTTTTCGTACTTAATAATAATACCCATTACACTAATATAAATAGATATTATCTGTATACCAGCTTTGGAACCCAGCGTTGCCAAGACAATTCATAGTTACTCCGGCAGTTTACCCGCGCATGGTCTTAAATTACGATTTTAGCTATTTTTTCCTATAAAAGTCGATCCACGCAACTTAGAACCTCAAACCTAAACTATGAACATCCCAGTGGTTTTTCCGAGTTTCCAATTCAAAATTTGAGGCAAATCGGTCCAGGGGTTCATGAGGTATGATTGTACATGCAAACAATTTATATTTTAGAGAGAAAGCGTTAGTTCTGAAGAACAATGCGAAAATTATCCTTAACGAGATTAACGAGAACCAGGTCAAGGAGAATATCAAGGAAAAAGGGAAGGAGAACCAAATCAAGGAGAAAATCAAGAAAAATGGGAAGGAGAATTAAGGGCAGGAGATCAAGGATACTAATAAGGATGATAAAAGAGTGTTAAACTCCGTCTGCAGTGTAAATAAAAACTATTAATTGATTATAAAGGGTGTGTCATTTTTCATCAACATTTCGGAAATTACGTCAAAAGTATTAATTAATTAATTAATTAATACTTTTAGTATTAATTAATTATTGAGGAAGGTTTCGATGGAGCTGGCAAAAAACACCTTTTTTCTAATAATGTAATATTGTAATATCATATGTTTGTCAATGTAATATCATATGAACGTCAATGTAATATCATATGAACGTCAATGTAATATCATATGAACGTCAATGTAATATCGATTTCAAATTTGATGTAAGAGCACAATTTTCTAGAATATTCTGTTTTAATAAGTGCTTAGAATTCAAATCTGTCAGATTTGCAACATCTTGGCTTCCTGCATTCGGATCTAAGGGTAAACTGCAAAAGAACAAATCTTGACGGATTGTTTAAACTTCCCACCCTCTGACTGATCCAAGTTTTAGCACAGAATAAATTTTCGTTTGTAAAACAAATGAAATGGATTCTTTGCACTGGTTTTAGTTAATCTAAACTTTTCCTAAAAGGACGAATTCCGGCAACTTTCTTGCTCATCTGAGCGTTAAAAATTCAGGAAAAGTTGTGGGTGAAGATTTTGATTTTTTTATGGAAGTAGAGAATTTTCTGATAATTTTATATTTTTTTAAAGGTGTAGTTATTAGAAAATCATTATGTAACAGGAAATGTAACGCCATCCAAAATTATAGCTCTGAACATTAACAATGATACCGTTTAAAACCATTGACGTTTAATTCTAAAAACTCTGAAGCCTATTTTTTAATATCAGCTTTCAAGCGAATTGTTTTTTTTATCGACACACCTTTTTTAATTAATCAGTTAATACATATATTTTGTTATTGCATCAGGGGTGTTCAATATTTTCTGTTTTTATTCAATTTTTAAAATCTTTTTCTTATTTTTTCCCTGGACTTTTATAAACCTGTTGTGATTCCCAACCCTGCCCGTCTTTCAAAGAATAACCACAACCCCCCCCCCCTCATCAAAATCCAGCGCTAACTATAGGGTTACCCACAAAGGATGAGATTGTTAAAGGGACATTAAAGGAAAAATGAAAGGGGGTATAGGCTGAAAGCTTATCACTTTAGCTCTCGATCGCGACCCATGAAAGTTATATCTGATGTTCCTATTTCGAGAAATTGATAAACAACTGTGTCAAATTTATACGAAAATTAATATATATACAATTTTGTATAAAAGTAGAGGGTTTAAATAGATCAAATTCAGCAAATAAGCAACCAATCTGAAAAAGATGATATCCCAGAGAATGCTAATTGTAAATTAGATTTACTCCAATTATAATTTTATATTTTTTATTTCTATTTTTAATAGATTTTATTCATTAAATTATTTATAGTTAAAGTGATTAGCTTTCAGCCTATACCCCCTTTCATTTTTCCTTTACAGTCCCTTTAAGGCTTAAGAGGACCTGAGATTCGGAAAAAATCAAGAATTAAAGGAAACGCCGGTATAAAATCCGTTCAGTTGTCTCTGAAGTCTCATTCTTTGTAGCTAACCCTGTACAGGGGGGGGGGGACAAACGTGATTTAATTTTACTAAAATTGATTAGTGCACTTTAGAAAATATTTCACCCCTGTTGCAGATCTGCAACTTTTTTCCAAATATTGTCATAATTATCGCAAACCATCTAAAATTGGGTTAATATTATTAATTTATGTTATCTTGCATCCGAATTTTCAAGTTTGTTGAAAATGAATGCTCAATTTCGGTATTCTGAAGAAAATGATGAATGATTTCATATTGCGGGTTTATTTACAAAAACTATTTTTTCTTAATTAAACTTTTTTTCTTCATTCGAAAGTTTGTCTGCTACCAAGAATTCCTGGAAAAATTGTTAATTCAAGAGTTATATAATTAGTCTGAACAATAGTCGGACAGTTTCACCTTTAAGGGACAGTAAGCGTAATTTAAAGTGACCCTTCATTTCAAGATTCAATGCTCGATTAACAACAGCGGTACCCTCGAAACCTTTATCCGATCGATAATGTGAAAGATATTGTAGGTTTTTCAGATTTGAAAGTTTTTAATTCTCTTCATGCAGTGTAAATGCGCGAGTCACTTCTGTAGAAAACCCACAATTGAAAAAAAATGGTTTAAACATTGATATCTAATTCATATCCTATCAGACAAAGATTTCTTGCATAAAGGGCCACTGGAAATTATGCTTAAAGTACATTTAATGAAAATAAGGATATGATATATGATTAACAATACCGACATTGAAGAATAAATACTTGTTGTGAACATTTAAAGAATAAAATTGTAGAAAGAGAAAATTATGCTTGTTGCATTTAGTGCCTTAACTGCTGCATGTATGTAGTATAATTGTAAATTGATTAGAATATTCTGTTCTCTAAAAAAATATGTAAAATTATTGTAAAGCAACTTTTTTATATTTTTATAGTGCTTTGTTGTAAACTGACGTTGCTAAGAGTGATTTGACGAATTTGATTTTGAAATCATATATGACTAATGCTTTATTATACCAGTTGCTAACAAACATAGAAAATACTGAAATAAATTGACAATTAAGTATTTTAATATTTATAGATCAGCTTAGGAACAGGCCAGACAATCTCTGAAAAAAAACTTGTTATTAAATTAAGTAAACGGTGCTAAAATATGGTTGCTGTTGTCCTTTTATCAATATACGTTACAATTAGAAGAAAGTTTTGCTATTCGAAAATTCTTCTTTCTGAGGAATATTCTCACATTCACAATTTAGTGGTCAAGCGCTGCGGTTTTGACAGGCCAGGGATTTTTCTCACATATGAAAAAATAGAATAACAAATGTCCGAGCGCCCTTTTAATGAATTATTAAAAATCTTTACATTGCTCGAACTTTTCTGAGTTTGATTTTAAAACCATTTTTACATTGAAAACTACATGAAGTTTAATTCAATTAATAGGGGAGGGGGTAAACTTTCTTGTTTGGGCCAAAATATCATCGAAATGTTTAAATATAGGGTTACCCACTAAGGATGAGACTGTAAAGACAACCTGAAACTCGAAATATGACTTATACAAGGTTAAATTAAGTCTTCAGCCTTGAATTTTATCGATTAATATCCATTTATTGACATGGCAAGGAAAACAACCAGCTTAGTTGCAGAGAATTCTAAATATAAGGAAATATTTAAAATACTGTACACTTCAGTGTACAGTCGTCTCTGAAGTCTCATCCTTTGTGGGTAACCCTTTACTGTAGGTACTTTCCCAAGCGGCAACTTCCCAAAGATTAGGTTAGGCCCTCTAAGGCGCCACAGGCTGCAATGGGGGATGAGCGCTGCGGCTAGAACAGGCTGGGGGCCGAGCGCTGCGGCCAGGACAGATTTATAAAGTTTCCGCTTGGGAAATTGCACATTTGGGAAAATACCCCTGTGAAGTTGCCACTTGGGAAAAAATCCTTTGGGAAAGTACTCAACATCGTATAAAAGCTTAAATAACCTGAATCTAGAATGATCCCTCGTTGGTTCAAGACCATCTGAATATATTGATAAGTATCCATCAGGGTACCATCTCTGCAACATTTTTTTTCAGCATCATGTAATTATAAGATTCATTATGTTATTTTAAAACACATTTATTTGTTAAAACTTGAAACATATCGGGAATTCGTCCAACTTAGATATTTAATGTAAAAACGATTTGGGGAAAGGTCTGATGTATAATTACTCCCCTGGCAAATGTAGTTGTCTGAATCGTAAAGCAATTTTGATCTTTAAGGCATGACTTAAAGTGAAGGTAAACAGGAAATGGAAAAATAGAATATTTTCCTACTCGGAAGTAAATTCTACGATATAAAAATTTATCCAAAATTTGTTAAAATGTAGTTTTGGGCATTGGACAGTAATTTGGTTCGTTTTTCTAAGACTTCTAAGGTTTTTGGACTGACAACCTAAGTCCAAAAACCTTTATAAAAAAATTGTTGTCAATTAGTTTTACCTGTCGTGTTGGACATTTGATTTCGTTCGTTTTTTAGACTTTTAAGCTTTTTGGACCTTTAGAAGGTTCAACAAAATTTTTAAAAAGTTCTACAACTTTCCAAGCAGTTTATTCTGGGTTTTCTTACACTATTTAAAATGTTAATCCTGAACAATCGTTCTTTTTGGTTCGGTTTCTACATAGTTTAGGCAATATATCTTCTCTCAGGGTTAAAATTTCATTTAGGGTAAGGAAAGCAAATGTTTAGAAATTTATAAAACTTCCAAAATTTTTACGGAATCTAAAATTTCCAAACCATTAAAAATGAACGAAATAATCTCTAGAGTCACCTTAGAATAGTTTCCAGCATAGCAGAATCTGGAATACTCCGAGACATTTTCTCCGCTAGGTTTTCAATACTCTTCTTTACAGTTAACTGAAATATATGGGAGAATTATCCTTAAAGAAAAGATTAAATGTAATGGAGAATTCTTCCCGTTAAGAAGAAACATTTAAGAGAGAATTCTTCCCGTTAAGAGGAAATATCTAAGAGAGAATTCTTCCCGTTAAGAGGAAATATCTAAGAGAGAATTCTTCAATGTTAGAGAAGAAATATTGAAAGGACAATTGTTTCCGATAAGAAGAAATATTCAAGTCTTCAAGGGAAAATTCTTCCGGCATAAAAGAATAAATATTTAAGGGAGAGAATCTTTTACTGTTAGACATAAGGGGAGAACACTTTACTATTAGATTAAAAAAAGAGGAGATTTTTAGATGATTAGATAAATTAGATAAAGAAGAATCCTTTACTGTAAGATTCAAAAAAAGGAGAGAATTTTTTATTGTAAATGTAAAGAAAGGAGAGAATCTTTTATTCTAAGATAAAACTAAAGAAAGGAGAGAATCTTTTACTGTAATGAAACCAGTATGAGCTCAATAGCTTGGGATAAGAAAAGGTCCATTGATGTAACCCCTTCAGATCTAATACGGCCCCGAAGCTAAGCTCAGATGGGACAGTTCTATTGATGTAACCGCTTTCGCTATCATACGGACCCTGAGCTAAGCTCAGATTACAAGTAGTCCGGCCTATAAGCATGCCAGCTTATTAGCTCTTTGTATATAGCTATAGGTCGGACAGAAAGTGGGAAGGATCATAAACCGCCTCGTGTAGAGTGTATTCAGATATTTTGGCCTTTAAAAAATGCCATCCAGAAAGCTTGCTTTCAACGCGTGGAACATCCAAGTTGCCGTTAAAATCTCTATTTAAAGTTAAAACTCAGGTTAAACGGCTTGAGCCACAAAGCAGGAGAAATAAGATTTGCCAGGCTATAGCCAAAATTGAGTTAGTCATTACGAAGAACCGGAAAAGAGTAAGGTTAATCTGTCACATGCGGAGAAAGAAAGACGGAGAGTCTGCCAGAGAGCTCCGGCTTAATTCAAATCGTTATTTTCAAACATTATCAGTTTTTTTAATGCTGTAAATACATTTTTTCCTATACTCTGTAGACTTATTCACATCCAGTATCAGGCTTTACGTTTTCTTTAACTTCAACCACTTTTAAATGGTAACAGTAAGAAAGAAAAGAAAGAATCCTTTACTTGTAAGATTAAATAAATGGGAAATTCCTCTACTATTAGATTAAATAAAAGGTAGAATCCTTCACAGTGTAAGATTAAATACAGGGGAGAATCTATAATTTAAAGATTTTTAAAGATTAAATAAAAGGTAGAATTCTTCACTGTAAGATTAAATACAGAGGAGAATCCATGTTTTAAAGATTAAATAAAGAGAAGAACTCTTAACCTTCAGATAAAAGGGAGAATCTTTATCTGTTAAGAAAATCAAGAGTAAAAGGAAAAATATGTGTGCTATAATTTCTTTTAAAGACTGAAATATTTTAGGTAAAACAAAGATGAAATTCTTAAACTAATCAATAAGTACTCAACATTTTCAAAATTAAAAAAATGTCTAAAGATTTTAAAAAAATGGTACCGGAGGTTGCTTTGAGAGTGTTGAAACAATCTGTAAAATCATCTTCAGAAGCTCCGTCTATACACAGGTAAAACATATTAGAGAGTGTTGAAACAATCTGTAAAATCATCTTCAGAAGCTCCGTCTATACACAGGTAAAACAATATTAGATTAAGAATTAAGGATTACAATGTTTTGAGTGTTAAACCATATTTGATCTCTCCCATTTAAATATTTACTCATCATATTATCATTGTTTGGGCTTAGTTTCATTTGTCATAATACGTTAGGCATCATTTTCCATAATTTAATTTTTCAAAACATTCCATATAGTAAAAGTTGCCAAAAAGATATATTTTCCATATTATTGGCTTTAATGCTTTAATCTGTTGCATTTCGGACACAATAGGGTCAAGCATCTATGGTATGTATATGTTGGGGGTCGATTGTAAAAAAAGTTTAATTTATATTTAACTCAATTACTGTTACTGTAATTTATTTATTGGCAAAAGTGTTAAATGAATGAAAAGATTCCATAAAAAAAAAATATAAAGATAAGTGGTGATATTGACGCGAAATCAATTTTGTTGATCAGTCAACTCTTTATAAAGACAAATGAATCTGAGCCACTTATCACGTTCATGAACAGATAGTGTCAAGTGAAATAAATAATTATTAATTTTTGAAGTTTTTGAAAATAAAAGCTTGGGAACCTTTTCATTACAAGCTTGTCAAACCTTTTCAACTTTTAAACCAAGCTAAGAACAGGTTTTACCTTGAGTTCCTCAATCAAAATTTGAGGCAAGTTGGTTCAGGGGTTCCTGAGATATAATCGGACACACAAACAGAGATAACTAATCTTCATATGATAAAGCTCTTCGCTTATGTATTGTATTTGTATTTGTATTGTATTTGTATATACAAAACATTTATGTGTTAATTATAGCTGGCCAAACGACTAAACCAAATAGGCTGACATTATTTTTGAGGGATTATAGGCAAAATTTTATTTCAAAAATTGAAATTTTCTTTTTCAATAATCGATTATTTTAAAAAATCAATTTTTTTCAAATTTCGATTTTTTTTAAACTTTACAGGCAACGCCGGGCACTTACTATAAATAAATATTATAGTTGATACAAATAATTATTCCTTTGTTTTACCTTGTGTTCCTCCTGATCTGAGGTTTCATTGCGTATTGCAGGATCCAGGATCTTATAGCTCCAGGTACCCAACAGAGGCTGGAAATAGTTTAAAAAAATTATCTAATTCTTGTATCCAGGGTCCAGGGGTTTATACATTTGTAAGAATTACATCAAGAAAATGAAAAATGTTGAGATTAAAAGTTTAAAGCTTTTTCATTCTTTTTAATTCATTCACTATTTTATCCAGATTCAGCGAACAAAACCATTAAAACTTTTTTTTCAAAATAAATGATTTTCATTAGGGGTGAATATTTTCGTGAAAATAAACACCCCTGCTTGTAACTTTTTAGCGGGACGATGGAAGCCTTTAAACTTTCAAACTTTGACGGATGAATTAAATGAATTCATAGTTTGAAATATAAAGGATCTTTGAAAATAGGCTTCAAATTATATATCTATTAGGATTCAAACATGAGTGATAAAATTTGCTGCGAATTTCCATTAAAACTGTGGAAATTTGCAAAAATGTCTATTAATGTTATTTTTTGCAAAGTTTTTGATATAACAAAAGACATGAGCCTGAACAATTGACAACCTCTTAATTGTTTCGTTCAACGAATAAAATTTGTCTCTGCCTATATTTTCTGCAACTTAACACAACATTATAAAACGTCAACATATTTCAAAATGTGTCAAAAAATGCTCAAACTATTAATAATAAAATTAAGTTCATACATTTGCAAAACTTTTTATTTCAAAATATTGATGATACGATGAGATATTTACAAGGTGGCATGTACAATTTAATTGTGTGTTTTTACGGTTGATTAGGCAAAACATTTTTTAGAAGGGTTTTAAGTTCATTGTTTTGAGTTTTGAGTTTCTCGTTTCTACCCATTAGATCTGCTCGAACCAACAGTAGATCCTAAACAATATAAAATTAGATTTTAAGAGAAACATAAAAATAATTTAATTTAACAATTTACAAAAAATTGCAATAAAGAAATTGACTTTTTACTCTTATTTTCTAATCCCCGTGTCTTTGCAACCCAATGTCGTAGAATTTTGAGATATTTCAAACTATGACTCTGTTAGTTAAAGCAATCTAAATTCAAAATACCAATGCTTTACACCATCAGTTTTCAATAATATAGGAATTAGAAAATTTGAGTTTGTGGCAAAGACTCAATTAATTTTAATTTAATCAAAGAGTGACTAGTATTTTCTTTTAATTGCCTTGTATTTAGTAAGAAGATGTTTTAGATTGGTTTTATCTGGAGTTTTAAACATTTCTATGCTCTCTTTCAGCTCATCCCAGAGATATCCTTCCCTGAAATAATGAAGAATTTAATTTTTAGATTAAAAAGGGAATTTTTATTGTTCACGTAATCTCAGGGTATGCTAAAAAGATATTAATTCATTATGACCTTACTATTCAAATATAGCGTTCAGAACTTCTTCAAAAGTAAGTGAACGGTCCCTTTAATGTTGAAGAAACATTTCCTGAGACATTTTAGAAAACTGTATGAAGTACGCTTTTCTCGGTGTTAAGTATTTTCCCAAATCCATTTTCACAAGGGCAACTTACCAAGTGGCAACTTCAACTTTCCAAGTGGCAACTTTCAAAATGGCAACTTCCCAAGCGGCAAAACTTCACAAAGGTTAGGATTGACCTTCTGAGGTGCCGCAGCATGCAGGCTGCAATGGGGGGGAGCGCTGCGGCTAGGACAGACTTAGGAAGTTGATACTTAGGAAATTGTTGTCGCCCTTGGAAAAATTCCTTTGGGAAAATACTTAACATCCCCTTATTCAATGGAGGAAACATTTTTTAGAAAACTGCAATACGTTTTTATCAATTATAGGGTTGGAATATTTTAAGAATTATTACTTGTCTGGTTTGATAGCTCCTGTCATTTTCTTCATGATGTTGAACCCGGAGAATAGAGCTTGTCTGTTCTGCTCGGTTCGTTGGGTTGTCTCAGGTTCCTCCATATACCCTCTGCAAATTATTAAAAACAAATATTTCAAAAATATTTTTTTAATAAAATAAAATAAAATATAAAAGGTTGGCCCATTCAGATGCCAGTTGTAGTGAAGGTTTTAAGCCAACTGTTCATCAAATTATATTTTATACAAATGTATAATGTTATAATGTAAACACGATAAAAAAATCCACAGGGTTATCCAAAAAGGATGAGACTTTAGAGACGACTGTGCGGAATTTATCCAGTCTTTGTTCTTACATGGTTCAAATGAAACCTATGGTCGTTATGTTGTAAATAATAAAATAATTAATGACATATCTAGTCAATCTGATTGTTTATTTGTGTTGAAGAAATGTATCATTACGTTCTAATCGAAAAGTCATCTGGATGATACAAAAAGGGAGTTATCGCATTTCTTATTTTTCGCAAATACTCCCTTTTAAGTTTCTATTATTCAGTATTTCTAAATCATTGATAAATACAGGGTGTTCCACGAAACATGACTGTATTAGATATTAAAGGTTGTTTGCATGCAGTTTATTTCGTTTAACAAATTTTTTGCTTAAATATATTTTACTTTGAAATTAATTTTACTATAATATGACTCCTATATAATATTTTTATTATTGTCTTTGGTATTAAACAACAACTTATGGAAGAAGACATTTTAAACTATTTTCCAACTGTCATGTTTCGTGGGACACCCTGTAGTTTTTATAAGCATGCATATATTCTTTAAATTAAATTGACTTCGGACTTCCTTGCATTTCCAGATATAATGAGGGGGGGGGGGGTGGAGAAGGTCATGAAAAGCAAACAGAGAATCATGTTTGGGGGATTTGGATGAATTTAAAAAGTGATTTCTTTTTAATAAAGAGCGGCTCAGAGAAATAATGATTCAAGAATGCATTATTACATCAAACTGATTCAGCTGAACATCTTGATATTGTAATGGAGAAAGCAGAGATCTCAACAGAAACCCCAGATCAAACTACATTGGCTAATTTTGAAATAGATGAAAACATCAAAAAGAGAATAAACAACGATCTTCTAAATGATGATGAAGAGAAAGAAGAAAGATCAAGGAAGCAGCATATAATTGATCTTCAACTACTGTCTCCAAGGCAATATATTCTTTAATATATGCAGAATCCTGCACAAGCTCCTGGTGTTCATCATCAAGTACTCAGCCTACCTCAGCAGAGTGGAATTCTAGCAGTACAATTTGGAAACAGCTTTAGATTAGCAGAATACCCCGCTCTATTAGATCAGGTCAAATAGGAAAATAAACCTTTACATTAAATGTGAATTTAATGGCTGAATATCCAATGCATTTAGAAGATCGAATCCATGAGACAATGCATTTAGAAGATCCAATCCTTGAGACAACACATTTAGAAGATACAATCCATGAGACAACACATTTAGAAGATCTAATCCTTGCGACAACACATTTAGAAGATACAATCTATGAGAAGGTATTTTCTGAAGATTTTAAACAACTGAAACTGTTTTAACTAAAGATGTATTTGAAAATAATGGTGTGAAATGTATCAAAAAGGTGATTCAAGTAGAGGAAACTGTTTATACGATACTATTCAGAAATGTACACGCTCATTTGCAGAGTAATGCCATAAAACATTCATAACTGATTATACGCCAACTAAAGTGGAGAAATGTTCAACAAGTTTTGAGAAGAATTGTTACATCACATACAGTGAAACCCTTAATAACGAATACATCGAAAGAATTTATCAAATGTCGTCTTGACAACTTTTCAATGAGTTTTATACTATATTACGTAAATTTCAGTATTTGCGAAAATAAATAAATAGCCATGAATATGCCGAAACAGTTTTAAAGAGTTCCATATAATCATTTAATTAAAAAAACTAAATATCTGCAACATTCCATTATCAGAAAGTGAAGAATACGACATTTGATGAATTCTTTCGATGTATTCGTTATTAAGGGTTTCACTGTACAAAAATGTCCTTTGTTAAAAAGGTTGAGGTTTGTGATGAGCCCTTGAAGAAGTTTTGCAATGAAACTGTAAAAGTAGAAGAGGTGTGTAGGACTGAGTATGAAACTTCCTGTGAAACCAGGTTTAAGAACCATACTGTAGAGCAGGAGGAACCTGTAAAAGTAGAAGAGGTGTGTAGGACTGAGTATGAAACTTCCTGTGAAACCAGGTTTAAGAACCATACTGTAGAGCAGGAGGAACCTGTCTGTGAAATAGTGATGGCGAAGAAGTGTGATGCTGTAGTAGTAGATAATCAAAATCAGTCTAACAATCGTAGAAGAAGGAGATCAACTGCTTTGAATAGAAAATGGAGAACAATTTACCCGTCAGACGGATAATTGTGAAGAATGGGCAGTACAGAAGTGTACCTTGGATAAAAAAACTGTCACAAAATCCACTCCTGAAACTTCATGTGAGAAGTATCCTAGAGAAGTTTGTGCAACATCCAACTGTGAGAAGCCATTCAGAGAGAAAACAAGAAGTCTTGTTCAGAATATTCCAAGTAAGGATTGTGACCTGGAGCCTAGGGAGACCTGTAAACTGGAGACAGGTATAGTTTCACATTTAGTTGAGAAACCCAACTGTGTTAAGGTTCCAAAGGAGATTTGTGTTAATATCAAGGCTAATCCAAGTAAGGTAGCAAAGCCTGTTAAAAAGAAATGGTGGTACCATCCATAGTGATGTTGGTACTGCGTCCACCAAGGAAGCATTAGATCTTGAAATAAAACAGCTCTAAGGTAAAAGGTGTATTGGAGAGTTGAACTACAGAGCCTGGGCATTATACATTTTATACAATCTTATATCACTTGTAAAGTACAATTTTGAAAGGCCTTTTAAAATATCGTTTTTTTTCATTCATGCAATACAATAATGTAATTAATATGTTTGCAATGAATCTTTTTACTTATTATCTTTATTCAATTATCTATTCGAATAGTGATGAACAATAAGTTCAGATAGTTTTACTAAAACCTTTTAGTTTTTGGGCTTTTTAATTATCCACAGATAAAAGATACAGAGTATAGCAGGCGTCATAATGTCTTATCCTTTGTAGACAGCCCATACGTAACAATGGAAGTCAATCTCAAATAACTTTTATAATACTTTAACTTTGTAAATTTTTACCTAACTATTTTCAGTATCTTTGATCTTTTTTCAGCAACACTTAGAGTATCATCAGCATCAAGGCCAGCTAACTCTTCCTCCGTATCACTATTTAATAGTATACTATCATAATCAGTTTTCAGTGGAATAAAAGTCGTCCTTGTTAAAAACTTTAATTTAAATGTTGAAAAATTAGAGTTTTGTAACAATTCTGAAAATAAACACTTTACCTGGGTCCAGGAAAAATTCTTTAAAACAACCAATAAAACATAAAAAAAATCCAATTTTACAGATGAGGTTTTAAACGTGGATTTTTTGGTTTTTTTTTGGGGGGGGGGGCTTGTTTTTTCCATGCCAACCCTGGCTGGGTCACATTTTCACAATTATAAAAGCTTTAATAACAATTTTTAAAATCGTTTAAAAATTGCATGCCTGATTAGCAATGGTACCCTTACATGTTTTTTTGTTTAAGCTGATTATTTTCATTTGAATTTTCTCTTTAAAAATGAGTTCTTGATTTAAATAAACTGTAAATCTATATATTTGGAATTAAACACTTTTCAAGGCAAGGTTTCTAGGATACCGTTATAAATCATTTGTCCCTTTAAATGTAGGTTCACTTGAAATTTCGAAAAAATAAATAGATTTTTCAAAATAAGTGATTATACCTAATTTTTAGGTGATTGAATATTTTCTCAATATCCTTTTCTTCATTGACACCAAGAGCACTGAGGATAGAATCTACTTTAAGCAGAAGCTTATCTTTGTCTGGCAGAACTTCCATTAGTGCATTCAAGTCATCTTCTACTAGAAAATCTGCCTTTTCAATCAGAGACAAAAGCATTTCTTTCAGCTTCTTAGCACCTTCTTTTGGGCTTACTTCTGTCCTAAATAGTATTTAATGATTTATCAAGCTAAAGGTTTCAATCAGGGGCGGCTTATGAAATTTTACAGGAGGCGGGAAATAATACCCCCCCCCCCTGGAATTTTATAAAGAGAATTTGGACAATTTTTATGTCAAAACCATGACAAACTAGAGGTAGGAGGGGGAAATACTACTACCAAATTTTGGATTTCTCTATATATTTTTTTAATCATCATTTGAAAGATGCTCTCAATTCTTGCTTGCGCCCCGAATTTTTCCAGAGGACGTCCCCCCTTTTCCCCCTTTTTCGGTTGTCTCCGATTCCAATGATGCTATGTTAGTATTGTACCTAGAACGAGCTGATTTACTTCTGCTTGATGCTCTACTTGTTCTTCTGCTTGATTTGGCGGATTTAAAGAATTCAGATACATCAGAGTCAGGAACAGAAGTACCAAGTCTACCAAGCATGTATCTAAAAATCATTATAGTTCAATAACTATACAGATAGAACATTAGATGGGGTCTTTTCAAGATTTTGGGGTTTTTCGTTCACAATAATATAGTATATGAATAAAAATCAATAAAGCAATGCACTGAGTTTCTCAAATATTCAACGCGTCGGTTTTTCTTACAATATATTTATGTACAAAAGATACAA